GGGAAAAGAGCGGCCATCGCCTCCAGGGATGAGGGAGTCCGCGTAGACACCGAGTCCCGTCTACGCAAACTATCCGGTATTACAGGTGACAAAAGGGCCGCCTGTTCATACTCAGATTGGAGATGCAGCGTCTTTGCATTGTGACATCCCTGAAGTCAGCAGTCCTCATTTAATTGGTAGAATTTTCTCATTGCTAGTGAGATTCCTAAAACAGTAGTGCATCTGACGTCCCTGAACTGGTTTTCAAGGCTAGAGGTGTCCATCCGTACTGTTGGAAGAGCTGCCCTGGACATTTGCCATACGCTGCACCCAGTCCTAAGATCCCAACTCAGTCACACACACACCCCCGCCCCCCGCCCCGCCAGGAAGAAAGCACATTTGTAAGCTCAGGCACCCTGTGCTGCCTGAGGCAACAAAGCATCATCTCTGTCTAGCCGGGCAGATCTCTTTCAACCTGGGCAGGTTTAGAATTCCATCTAGACATCTCTGGTTAAATATGGCAGTATATTTTCCCCCTCTTCCTCCTGAAACCCCTCTAAAATGATAGGAAAGTTTTATAAAAGCAAAACCTGTGAGGGCAAAGAGGTGGAATATTGTGGAGCTGGAGGAAGGTGGGCGGTGGGAGCTGCTTTAGCCCTCTGGACTGCGGAGGTCAGTGTCTGAGGGGTGGTGCGTGAAAACGCACCTGGAAAAAAGAGACCCCAAACTTATATCCCTACCTGCTGAGGCCGGCAGGCACTGCCCCTGTCCAGGAGAGGAGCTCTGAGGCCTGGCTCATGGGCAAGGCCCTGTTTGAAATTGGAAGAGTAGGTGAGACTCTTGCTGCTTCCCCCACGCTGGTTGAGTCTGGCCTCCCGCAGGTGTTACCCAGTTCCTCAGCAAAGAGGGCTTCTGAAACAGCTAGCAACTCAAAACACTAGCAGGTGGGGGCTGGGGCAGGGGGTGCCTATTAGAGTGGCCTGGCCTTAAAGCTCACCAGGCCATAAGCCCCAGGCCCTACAGCATCTCACTTGTAAATGCAACTGGATGGCTCAGGGTCACCAGACAACTGAGGAAGAAGAAAAGGGACTCAGAGGCTGGGCACAGTGGCTCACACCTGTAATCCTAGCACTCTGGGAGGCTGAGGTGGGAGGATTGTTTTAACTCAGGAGTTCGAGACCAGCCTGAGCAAGAATGAGAACCCGTCTCTATTTAAAAAATAAATGAAGAAAAAGAAAAATTAGTTGGGAGTGGTGGGACGCACCTATAGTGCCAGCTAGCTACTCAGGAGGTTGAGGCAGGAGGATGGCTTGAGCCCAGGAGTTGGAGGTTGCAGCGAGCTGTGATTGTGCCACTGCACTCGCCCAGGTGACAGAGCAAGACCTGTCTTAATAAAAAGAAAGGAACTCAAAGGAACAGAGACAATAAAGAAGCAGAAAGTGGCAGGGGGGGAGCTAAAATGATATCCTTAGCTATGTTAGAGGTGTTGCATCCAAAAAACAAGAACAGGAGGCTATAGAGAAAGAACATTCAGGGAATGAGAAAGAGCTCTTACAAATGAAAAATATGAGAGGAAAATGAACCATTCAATAGTCTTGAAAAATAATCGAAATCTTACAGAATGTATAACAACAAAACCGGATAGCTAAAAAATAGAAAATGTAATAGTTATCACATGAGTCAGTACTCTCCAGTGCTCAAAACTGGCCTGGCACATCCGAGGCCTCCACCATAGAAGGAGATGGATGGGAGGGGTGGGCTGTCTTACTGTAGCTGCCACCAGAGGGGCCATAAGCACCACCCTCTGCTGGCCACTTCCTCTTGACAATGATGTGTAACACTACACTCGGAGTACTTGGTGCCAGGCACTGTTACTTCACACACGTTAACTCAGGCAATCCTTCCGACAACCCTATGCTATGCAGTGACTACTGTTTTATCCCCATTTTTACAAATGAGGACGTGCAACACCACACAGCAGGGGAGCAGCAGAAAGGCTTCAGAGCCTTGCTATCCAGCACATCATTGCACCTCTCAAAGGATAAGTCCAGTATCTAAATCAATTGTCCAGAAAATAAGGAAAGGGGAGAAATGGCCAAGGAAATAATTCAAGAAAATTTCCTAAAACTGAAGGGTCAGGTTTCTGGGCAATGGATGAAAAAGAAGTTGTACATCAAGACATGTCATTGAGAATTTCCAACAAAATGGGGCAAAGAAAAAAGAGAGATAATAGACAAAGGGTCAGAATTCAGAAAGACATGAGAGTTCTTGGGCCTAGAAGAAAATTATGTGATACCCTCAAAATCCTGGGGAGAAATGATTTCCAAACAAGCCAAGCTTTTTGTACCTAGTTACACTTTCAAGCACAGGTGAGATTAGAATAAGGACAAACAGGCAAGGACTCCATAAGTTCCCATGCATCCTTTCTCAGGAAACTTGGAAGATGTTCCTCTTCAAATGGGCAAATGAAGGAAGAGGAAAGCATGAGATCAAGAGACAGAAGAAAGTGCTCCAGGACTCTGGGGAAGGAGTGACCCAGGCTGACATCTGGGTCACAAGTACAAGAACAAGCAGACTGGGGCAGAGGAATCTCATGTTAGGGGCTTCAGGAAAAGAAAAAACTGGGCATTCAATTATGTGATATGTCCTAAATATTGAAAGGAAACTCACGCTTTTGCAGTGACATTTAACAATGAATTAATAACAGACACATATAGAAAACTAAGCAAACCAAAAAAAAAAGGCAATTATTAACTCCTGGAAAAACAAAAAATTGTGCAAGAAAGAAAATATCCTAGGACACCTAGTTCCCTGCTGAGACCTGTGGTGATGAATCTGTAATAATACCCATGCAGCTGTGATGTCCATCACAGTTAGGACTATTGGTGTTAGGTCAGAGGATCGAGGCAGGTGACCTCACCCCCAGAGGATGCCAGCTGGGGTCGCCTAATGTAGAAAAACTCAGAAACTGGACTAAAAACACGCATGTGATTTTGAGAAACATGGACTTAAAATGCCTGAAGAAACAGTTTAGAGAATTGAATTTAGGGAGAATAAGACTAGGAGACTGCATTTATTATTTATTATTAGCCTCAAAAAAACCCACTTTCAAAACAATAAGGATAAAACTCTGAAAAGATAAAACTTAAAATGACAAACTCAACATAGTCATGATTAAGTGCAACAATGGTAGTACTGATGCTTTTAAGTTCAGTATAATCACTGGTACAATGTTATGAATTTGCCTGTTTAAGACCATGCAAAATTAGACAGCTTAGGTTTTCCATCTAGAATGTGTAAATTATTTTAGATTTGTAATTTTAAGTTGAAAGGTAGGAGAATTTGAATAATTTTGTAAATAGTATTGGAATGTTTAAGATAACTTGAGATTCCCCATATTTGTACATTTATTTAACATGCTTTGGTAAATTTTGTTTTAGTTTTTGGCTTTTGGTTAGGGTGGTGTGGTAGGCAGGATGCCATCCTTCTTCCACAAAAGATGTCCATTACTTTAATCCCCAGGGAACCAATGAATGTTAGTTTACATGGCAAAAGGTATTTTCCAGATGTGATTAATATTAAAAAACCTTGAGAGGGGGAGATTATCCTATACTATCTGGGTGGGCCCCAAGCTAATCTCATGAGTTCTTAAGGAGAACCTTTCCTGGCCAGGCCCAGAGAACCAGAGACAAAAACTCAACTTGCTGTTTTTAGCTTTGAAGATGGACTAAGGGGCCAAGAGCCAGGGGATGTGGGCAGCCTCTAAAGTGGGGAACGGCCTTCAACACACAGCCAGCAAAGAATGGAGGGTCAGCCTCACTGCTGCATGGAAGCGAGTGCTGCCCACAGCCTTGCTAAGCAGGAAAGGGTTTCTCCACTAGAACCTCCAGAAAGGACTGCAGCCTGCTTACCTTGATTTTAGTCTAGGGAGACCCCGTCAGACTTCCAACCTACAGAATTAATAGTAAGTTTGTGCCATTTTAAGCCACTAAGTTTGTGGTGAATTTTACAGCAGCAATATAGAACTAATACAGTGATGAGCCTTCCTAGTTTGACATTTGAAATGCTTAAAAAGAAATCTGAATGCACTAAATTTATAGATACAGTTTAAAATTGGAAGAGGCAGTCCAAGAACTGAGAGGCCAGAGGTGGGGCAGAATCCAGGAAGACACTGGAACCTCTAAGACTGAGATGCGAGTTGGGAGGGAGACAGACAGGGACCAGGAGTGACATCCTCAGGGCCTAGGGAGCAGCTGCCCAGGGAGGAGGTACAGGAGGTAACACAGAGGGGTGTGAGTTTGAGGAGCAGGGAGGATGCCTGGTTGCCGACCCCTCCAGGCCAGGGTGTGCAGGACAGAAACTGGCCACTGAGGGAGCTGCAGGGGAGAGCAGAGCAGAAACTGCAGAGGGCTCCAGGGCTGATCTCAGAGTGGGTGGAGGGCCAGAGAAGGGGTCCAAGACTGGTGTGTGCAGGACCAGAGGCTTTGCTGACAACAGCCTCAGCTCCAGGGCTTTCTACCATCTGTTTCTCTCATCAAGTCACGGCCCTGCCCAGTGCCCAGCGCCATGCCTGACACCTGTAAGTGCTCCACCACTATCTTGAGATCCAGGCTCCTTGTGTGGGTCCATGGTAACAACAAGGAATGGCCAGTCTCCCAACAGGATGGAGCAATTCTTGAGCACAGGTCTGTCCAGGGCTCGCCCCCACCCCACCCATGAGGTGGGCACTGTTGGCAGTGGGGCTCCCTGCAGGGCAGCCTCCCAGTGCTAAGGACTCAGAGGTGCTGGTGGGGCAGTGGGGTAGTGGGGCAGGGGCTCACGGTCAGGAGGCTGGAGGATATGGGACAGGGCTGCCTTGTGGAAGCCAGGGTGGGCAAGGCACCCCTGACACTAAGGACATGCGGGCCTAGCCACTCCCCCAACCCGGACTCCCTCACCCCTGGGTGAGCCCCACCCTCGGGTGCCTGGGAGGCGGCTTCAGCCCCACTCTGCAGCCCCGGTCCTCACTAGCTCCGGGGCACACAGGTGGACGCAGCTCCGCAAGGCTGGGCTCTTCTCTACGTGGAGGCCCCCAGCTGGGGCGCGGGTCAGGGCTGGGCCCCACGGTACTTGAGGAAGGTGCTCTCCAGGAAGGCCGCCAGCTTCATCCGGTCGTCCTGCAGGCGGGGAGGGACGCATGGGGGGATGGAGGGGCGCGGCGCACCCGCGCGCCCTGTTGCCCGGCCACGCCCACCTGCGCACCTCGTGGACGAAGCCATAGTGCACGAGCTCCGCGGCGAGGTCCTGGGCGCTGTCGGCTGCGGCAACAGCAACGGCGTAGGGCGACGCGTGAGTGAGGCCGCCTTGCCGCGCGCCGCCCGCCGCCCCAGGTCGCCGCCCGCCGCCCGCCGCCCGCCGCCCGCGCGGCCTACTTGGAAGCAGGTCGTAGGTCAGCTGCCGGTGCAGCCGGTCCTCCAGCACCAGAAGCAGAGTGAGCTGAGGGGGGAGGCGGCGGGAGGCAGGGTGGGGTCGGCGGGGGCGGTGCCAGGAGTCCGCCCGTCCCCCGCCGCCGCCGCCGCCTTCCTCGCCCCTCAGTCCCGCGCTCACGCCCGCCCCAGCCCGGGGCCCAGCTCACATGCCAGCGAGCCTTGTCCTCGGTTCTCTCCAGGTTGCACTGCATCTGGACCACCTGCGGGGGTCATCCACAAAAGCTGGAGCTCAGCGACTAAGCAGATGCTGCCTCAGAGGGGCCCACAGGGACAGCAGAGATTGGACATGGGAAACATCTCTCGGAGGAGCCCAGAAAGCACATCTCACTGCTAGTGGCCTGGCAAGTTAAGGAAACTTCGAGAAGAGTAGACATTGGGGCTGCGGGGCTGGGTACTGAAGGATGAATAGGAGCTTTCACAGGTGGAGAGGACACCTGAACAAAGAGGGGACTGTGAGAAGCAAGGGAGGGGAGGTCAGGCAGGCATGACAGCACCAAAACATGGGGCTCCAGTGGGACCAGGCCAACGGCTCCCACATCTCTGCAGACAGCCAGGAGCCAGGCAGCTTTGACTGTTAGGACAGGATTCTGCCTGCACTGTGGAAGGTCAGGCCAGGGGCTGGTGCAGCATCCAGATGAAGAATGGGGGTGGCCCAGATCAGGGCAGTGGCCATGGGGACACACCCAGGGCCAAAGCCAGGCCCTCTGGAGCCCAGTGGGTATGGACAGGAAAAGGGAGAGGGAGTGGCAAGGCTGACTGAGAGAGGCCCCTGGTGGGAGGAGAAGTCCAGGGAAACACCAGAACACCACCATCAAGGGACCAGCAAGCTGATGGGTGGGACTGGAGGAGGCTCCGGAGGAAGGCTGCATGGGGCACAGAGGGATGGGGGCAGCAGGAGGGGTGGGGGGGGCAGCAGGAGTGGTATGGAGGGTCTGCAGGGGGCAAGGGGCCTCTGGGAAAGGGAGTATCCCAGGTTGTCCTATGACCCCCACAACCCCACATGGGGTCAGCCTGGCAGAGAGCTGGGCTAGGAGCTCTTGGGCACCGAGAGGAGGGTGCCCACTCTGGCTGGTGGGAGGTCTGAGGGATGGCACAGAGCAGCAGGAGTGGGACTCGCCTTTCTGGTCTCAGAGTCAAAGGGTTCTGGTGTTGGGGTCTTGGCCTTCTGGGCCTCCTCGGGGGGTGGGGCCAGCACTCGGGGCAGCCCCAGGGGTCGAGCAGCTGCAAAGTTCATCAGTGGGTAGATCCCGTTCCTGGGAACACAAGAATGTGGCTGGGGGCTCAGCCTGACAGCTGCCTGGTCCCCAACCTCACACCAGCTCTCACCTGACATCCTCCAGGAATTTGTCCAGCTCTAAGAAGGAAACCTCCGAGTACCTGGCATGGGAGTGGAAGGCATATGAGGGCCCAGGGGAGTTGAGAGGGGAGGCTTCTAGGTGCTGGCTGCTCACCGCCACTGCAATGGGGGCCGGCGGGGCCGGGGAAGCTCCGCCAAGACTGCATGCAGGTCCATGGCCTTGGTCTTCTCCTCCACCACGTTCTCAGGCATGAGGTCTGTGGCCACAGGAGCACCAAGGCAGTGGCTCATGTCTCAGGTCCTACAGGGCCCCCTTCCACATCTGGACCCCGGCCCCCCAGCCCACCCTCTGGGCTGGCCTGCTCCTCACACTGGTGCTGGATGAAGCAGTGGGCTGCCAGGAGCTTCAGCGAGTGCACCTCGAAGAGCACGCGGTGGAAGAGGAGGCTGTGGGCAGAGGGCCGGCAGGCAGGGTCCCGGGCCAGGCAAGAGAGGATGAACTCCTGGGCATGGAGAGGAGAGGCTGGCGGTGGATGGAGGTGCTCTGCTCTACCCCACAGTCCTCCCTCCTCAGGGACACCACAGGACACACATAGGGGAAGGCGAAGCCAGGACCTGATCATGTGAGCTTGAGGACAGTCAGGTCCTGAGCTCTGAGCACCCCTGCTCTACTTCCCTAACCCTCACAAAAATCATGGGGAGCAGGTGCTATTGTCCCCAAGTCACAGATGAGAGCCCTCCTACCCACAGCCTGCCCCCACTTGGTTGCCCCAGCTCAGGCTCAACTCCGGAGCTGACCTTGATGGATCCCCACCTGCCCCACATCTGTGCCCTCCCTGTCTCTCATGCCCTTCCAGGTACCCGTCTCCTGAGTCTGTAGAATTAAGCTACTGGCCTCCCACCAGAGAGGCTGTGGATGCAGCTTCCATCCTGTACTCCCCACTGATGCCTACCATGGCCCCCTGACAAGCTGGGGCTCCTCACCTCCTGGAAGTTTAAAGGCAAGGACTTGGAGTCAGGCAGACCCAGGTGGGAATGCTAGTTCCACATTTACTCTAAAGCCCAGGGCAAAGTACTTAGCCCTTGTGAGCCTCAGTTTCTTTATCTATAAAATGGGCATAGTAATAGTGCCCACACAGGGAGTATCTCTCTGGTGTTCTCCTTAGAACGTGCTGATCCCTTAGGGCCTTCATGCTGGGAATGTGTCCCTGTGAGCCCCTCCAGCTGGCACACCCGTCAGCTGCACTAGCCCCAGTACACCTCCAGGCCTGCCCACAGCACTCACTGGCCCTGCCTGAGCACCTTGAACCAGCCTGGGAGGGGCAGGGAAAGCTGCTTACTTGCATGTTGGGGTCACTCAGCGAGTGCCTGGCACGAGCAATGGCCTCCTCTGTGACTCGGGTGTCCCCGTTGGACTGGATCTCCAGCACAGCCATCTGGGGTGCAGGGTCAGATTAGGCATGGTGAAGGGGTACAAGTGAGATGGGGTAGAGCCCAGCTGGGAAGGGGCTAGGAGGCCAGAGCCAGTACCTCCAGCGCACACATGCCAAAGGAGAATATGTCCACGGCGGTCCCATCAGCAACCTCTGAAAAGGAGAGAGCAAGGAAGGGCAGGTAGGACAGATGCACAGGACAAGGCCTGGTGTGTGTGAGGGGTGGGGCGCGGGGCCCAGGACTCACCGCCATACTCTGGTGGGAAGAAGTGCAGGTTCCGCAGTTCCTCTCGCTCAGCGCGGATGGGGCTTCGAAGATCGTCCGGAAGCGCTATAGAAGAGCGCAGGCCTGAGTGTACCGGACCCATCCAGGACCCCTTCCACCCAGGGTTCCCACGCACCATTGGAGAAGATGCGGTGCCACACTGCGTGGGCCAGGGCGGGGAGAAAGAGCCGAGTCAGCGAGCTGGGGCGTTGGGCGTCCTCTGCCCTCTGCCCGGGGCAAGTCCCCCAGCCCCGTGCCCCCTGCCCAGCCCCGCCCCTCCAGCACCGGAGCCGATCTTGACGAGGCCGTTGTGCTGAATGAAGATGGTGTCACTGGTCAGGTTGCCGTGGATGATGGGGGGGCTGCAGGCATGCAGAAAGCTGCAGGTGTGCAGAGGGGAGAGCAGGCAGAGCCGGGTCAGGTGTGCTGAGAGGTGGGGGGCAGCGCTGCAGGCGCGCAGGCAAATCCCAGGTCTCACCTGAGCGCTGACAGGATCTGCGTGCACCAGCGCTTCCAGGCCTAGCGGCGGACGCAGGACTCCGTCGGGTGGGCACCGGAGAGGCAGCTGGGCCTGTGGAGCCCACCCTGCGCCCTCACCCAGCCCATCCAAGGCTGCCCCTGTCCCTGAAGCCACCCCAGCCCTGTCCTCTCCCCAGTGCTGCGCCAGCCTACTCCCCATACCCGGGCATTCATGGCCTTGTGGTTCTTCTTGGTCTTTTTGAGAAATTGCTTGAGGCTGCCGGATGACACATACTCCGTGATGAAGATGACCTGTGGGGGGTGGGAGACAGGGGCTCAGAGGTTCCAGCAGCTGCGTGTCCCATGGCAGCCCCACCCAGCTTGTGACCTCACTCTGCTTAGTGGCCTTGCCTGCTCACCCTTGCACGGGTCTCAGAGGCATCCAGCCAGTACTTGTGCAACTTGACGATGTTAGGGTGGTCCACCAGGGCCAGTTGCTCAAACATGGTCTGGATCTTCTCCTGGGGAGGGTAGGGGTGGTCACCAGGTGGTCAAGGGGATGGGATGAGGAGGGAGCAGTGGGCCTCACCTCATGGGCCGCGAAGGCCTTCCTGTCTCCGAAGTGGAGCTCATTCCACACCACTTCTACCCCCTCCTCGGTGTCCATGGCCAGGAAGGTGCTCTGGACCCCGGGCATATTCCCCTGGTTCACCTGGGGGTGGGGGGGGTGGGGGGTTATGTGTGCCCTGGGGTGTCAGGGTTGAGGGGGAGGACTTAGTCCCTGTGCACACCCTTCCTGCAGCCTGAGCATGTGCTACAGGCCTTGACACCCTCTGTGGGTGAGCTGGGGTCCCGGGGGGCGGCTGGTGGGGGCGGGGTCCTACCCAGGGGCTAGGCTAAGAAGATTTGGATCAGGTTTCAGGGCGTTTAGCAGCGGATCCCAGAGGCATGGGGAGGTGGTCCTGGAAGGAGACTAGCGTCTTCGAGAATGGAGAGTTTCTCGCCAGGGCGTGGGCGCCGGGCCAAAGGGGTCCAAGGGCTGGCCAAGTCGCCGGACGCCTGAGAGAGGCCGCGGAGAGATTTCCAGCCCCTGTGCTCCCCCAGCGCCCCAGGGCCCCCAGTGGCCTCCGGGCCTCACCGGCTCCGGGAGGGCGGTGTCACCCCTGCCCACCGCCGGTGCCCACCTGCTCCCGCCGCTTCTGCCAGCGGCCACATGGGCTTTCCTCCAGGATGTCACTCTCGTCCTCGCTCTCGTCCTCCCGTTCCCGCTCCCGGCCCCGCCTCGGCGCCGGCTCCGCAGCCGCCATGGCTCGGCAGACCCAGGCCACCGCCCTCCGCACAATCCGCCGCCCGGCCCCGCCGCCGCTCCCGGCCCGCCCTGACCCTGCACCCAGCCGCCCAGCCGCCCAGCCCGGAGCCGCAGCCGCCTCTAGCCCCCACCCCAGCTCCGGGACTGGGAGGCGCGAGCGCGCGGCGGGCCGGGAGAGGGACCCGGGGTGGAGCCGGCCCGCCCCTCCCGAGCCGCCTCTGCGGTCGGGAGTCGGAGCGGAGCTTCCCCGCGGGCGGCCCAGTCCCGGCCGCGCCCCGCCCCGCCCCGTCGAGTGCCCTGCCCCGCGTAGAGGCTCCGCCCTTTCCCGGCTCAGGTCCCGCCCGCTCCCATCCGAGGCCCACCCACTCCTGTCCGAGGCCCCGCCCACACCCATCCGAGGCCCACCCACTCTCTTCCTGGGCCCGCCCGGCTCCTGCAGAGACCGCTCCTGCTTTGGGGAGAGAAGGCCACCGGACCATTCTGAGCCGTGTCGGTCGGGGACTCCCTGGGCACGCTGCGGCCTTGGCAGCCAGGGAGGGGGGGGCGGGTCTGAGACCTGCCTCTGTCCAGTTCTAGGAGCGGGATCCCGTCCCGCTTCCCTTCCCCACTCCGACCACGCACATTCGGAGCCCCGCCTGCCGCCGGCCGGGCATAGAACCGGGGCCTGGAGCAGCCCACTCTGCGCGCGGTTGCGCACCTGAGGGTCTGGGGGAGGGCCCAGGGCAGGGGCATCGGGGGCCCACCCAGGCTATGGCCTGCTCCAGCTGCAGGAGCCCCTCAGAAGCTGAGTGGCACTCTTGGCCAACATTCCCCGAGTCCCAGCCCCAGGGGACACGAGGGAGGGCCGCTGGAGGTGGAGGTCCGTACACAGGCAGGCTGACTCGGTTGACTGATTCATAGCTAACCCTAGCTGCAGATCTCTCACTGGCCGGCAATTCTGTGCTTCTCTTTCACGCGCACAAGCCCATCTTCCCACCTTCCAGGAGGGCGCCCCACCCCGACTTGCAAGCAGCCCCCTCCCCCAGGAGGCCGCCTTCTGGCATCTCAGCTAAGATCCCCCCGTACCCCACAGCCCACTCCCTTCCCACGGTCTCCTCCCTCTCCCACCTGCGGGTTCCTGGCCCCTCCTTCGTCTCTTTCTAGAGACAAAGGTGCCTGCCCACTCTCAAACGTGGCGTCCAGCTGAACTCCTGCTCCTCCCAGCCCCACTCAGTGTGCTCAGCCCTGCCAGTCTCTGAGACCCTGGGATGCCTCTTTCTGTCCTAGCCTTTGGCATAGCTGCATCTGACCCTTCCCTGTGTCCACTGCTGTCACTCTTCTCTGACCAGCAGTGCTCCCCATGTTCCCGGCTTCCACCAGCACCAGGTGATCCTGTTCAGAACCCCTGTGCAGTGGAGGTTTGGGGTATTCAAATCCCACACTTTCCAGAGAAACTGGCCCTTGACCAGCTCCTGGGAGACAGCCTCTAACCTCTTGGAATATGCTGCCTGATTCAAGCATCCACGTTTGCTGGGGCCTTGGGCCATGCCACGGTCTGTGCTGACAATGTAAGCTGTTGGGGCCTGGGGCCACTTGGCATCAGTGTGACCACTGGAGGACGGGAGACTGAAGTCAGCCCCATGGGAGGTCAGCAGTGCCTACGTGACCTACTCAATAAAATGCTGGACTCCGTGGCTTGGGCTCTCCCTCGTGGGCAGTACCCCAGGCATGTCGTCACACACACTGCTGGCTGAGCTGAGTGCTATTCACATGACTCCACTGGATATGACAACTGGAGGATGGTGCTGGGTGTCTCCTAGACTCTCCCATGAGCCTTTGCTCTGCCAATTTTAATCTGTATTCTTTGCTGCAGTAAATAGTACCCATGAGTATAGCCATCCTTCTAGGGAGTAATTGAACCTGAGGTGCTCTTGGGAACACCTCTCAGTGGTCCCTTCTCACTCAGCACGAGGACCACACCCTAACCACAAAGGCCCTGCAGTGGCCCCATCACCTTGAACTCATTCCCCCACCCTCTCCAGTTGAGCCACTCCAGGCACACAGGCCCCAAGTTGTCTGTTACATAGGCCAAGCACCTTGCTGCAGGGTCTTCACCCTGGCTGTGCCCTCTGCCTCCAAGTCCACTTCCTGCAGATCCTGACTCATCACCTCAGAGAGGCTGGCCCTGGTCACCCATCTGACATCACAGCCCATCCCTGCTTCCCCTGCTGGACTTGGCTTCTTCCTTGGCATCCATCCATACCCGACTGGCGCGTATGCTTTACTCGTCTCTCTTCACTCTCTGTGTCTCTGTTGGGATCCAAGCTCCAGGGGAGCAGGGGTGTCTGCTCACTATACCTGCTCTTTTTGTGATGCTGAGGATAGTGGCTGGCACAGCAGATGTTTGTTGAATGGATGCGGGGGCTGATGAGGTGTTTTAGGTGGGGTCCAAGGAAGAGGTAACATTTGAGCAGAATCTCAATGAATTTCCTTTCCTTTCTCTGCCCCCATAACTAGACACATGCTCTGTGACAGGTGAAAGAGAGCTCCCCAGAAGATATGTCCATGTCCTAACCCCTAGTCCCTAGGAACATAGTCTTGTTTGGAAAAAGGGAATTCACAGATGCAAGTAAGTTTAGGATCTTGAGATAAGGTCATCCCTGATTTAGGGTAGGCCCTAAATCCAATGTTTGGTGTCCTTTTAAGAGAAAGAGAAGGGATATTTGAGGCCCAGAGAAACAGGGGAGATGGCCACATGAAGAGAGAGGCAGACATTGGAAGGAGGTATCTAGGGGCCAAGGATCACCAGAGCCACTAGCGGTGAGGAGAAAAGCCTGGTACAGAATCTCCCCAGAGCCTCAAGAAGGAACCAACCCTGCTGACATCTTCATCTTGCACTTCCAGCCCCAGAACCGTGAGAGAGTAAATTTGTATTGTTTTAAGCCACCCCATTGAGGGCAGCAGCCCCAGGAGACTAGTGCAAGCTCTCAGCATTCCCTCCACACATGGGAACAAAGACACATGAGAGTAACATGTATTCACATGCAGGGATGGACAGGCAGGTGGTCCTCAGCCATTTATCCCTGCCACCCCACACGGTGGGTCTGACTGTTCCCCACCAGTTCACAGAGGAGGTGGCTTCCTCAGGCCTGTGTTCCAGAACTGGGACCACCCTCTGCCCTGCCTCTGTGCTTGCCCATCCACAGATTCTGCCAGGCCCTTTGTTATTTATTAGACATTATTTGGGACCATGCTTGTTCTCAGGAGCCATCATTGGCACTGCTAGACAGCCCATCCTCTTGTAGTGGCACATAGTACCAACTGTAGGGTCTCTGCTCACTGCCTCCTCCCCCACCTTGTGGACCCCTTGGGGTTTTTCCAAGCCTCTCCATCCCGTGAGGCAAGCAGGTGACCTGCTCTCTGAATTCCTGCCCATTTCTTTCCCACTGCATGTGGATGACTCCCCAGCTCAGGGGCTCAGGACTGGTGTCCTAGATGCCAGGAATCCTGGGGTGGGAGAAAGCCAGATGGTCCCAATCCAGAGGTCAGAGGAGCACCAGAGGGCCCCTCCCACTTTCTGCCCCCAATCCCGTCTCCTGGTTTCACACCCATGTACAGTTCCCTCTCAGGAGTGTGGACTGCCCTTGGGGACTTGCTTCTAAGAACACAGCAGAGGAAATAGGCTGGCACCTCTGAGACCAGGTGGCAGAGACTGTGGCTCCCTCACCTGCTCTAAGGAAGCTGCTGCCATCCTGTGAGCTGCCCTGAGAAGAGGCCCACGTGGCAAGAAACTGGTGTATCTGAATGATAGCCACTGATGCCCCATGTCGGGCAACAGCCAGGTTGGAAGTGGATACGGGTGAGTGTGTGTGTGTGTGTTTAGAAGTACTAATTGGAAATAAATTGTCAATTCTTTCAAAAAAAATTTCAGGAGGGTAGCAATATATTTAATCATAAATTATTTATAAAAAATAGACGCATAGGCCAGGCATGGTGGCTCACACCTGTAATCCCAGCATTTTGGGAGGTGAAGGTGGGAGAATCACTTGAGGCCAGGAATCTGAGACAAGCCTGGGCAACATAGCGAGACCCCATCTCTACAAAAAAATTGAAAAATTGGCTCGGTATTGTTGGCGTGTAGCTGTAGTCCTAGCTACTCAGGTGGCTAAGGCGGGAGATCACATGAGCTCAGGAGTTCAAAGCTTCAGTGAGCGCATCACTGTACTCCAGCTTGGGCAGTAGAGCAAGACGCTGTCTTAAAAAAAAAAGAAAGAAAAGAAAAGAAAAGAAAGAGAGGTATATATATATACAGCGTATTTATACAGCAAAGTCTAAATAGAAGATAACTGATGCCTACGGCAGGCTATTGTAAGTATAAAAGACCCTTCATGGTGGAATCTTAGCATGTACATCAAATTGCCTTAAAGGACAATGTGAACATTTTTAGTCATTTAAAAAACTTGCGGAAAAGATTGAATATCACTTTGTCAAAAGAGCAGTAGAGACAAGTAAGTATGAAGTTGTCTGCTATGTCATGTATGTTAGGCTCTGGGCTGTAATAACCACGGTATTCGGCATTGCAAAGTGCATAGGGCTATCATAAGTGTAAGGCGGAACTTAATTTTTTTAATTAAAAACATTTTTTTAATAGAGACAGGGTCCGGCTCTGTCGCCCAGGCTGGAGTGCAGTGGCATGATCACAGCTCACTGCAGCCTAGAACTCCTGGACTCACGTGATCTCCCACCTCAGCCTCCCGAGTAGCTGGGACTCCAGGTGCTGCCACTGCTCCCGGCCGTGAGGCTGAATTAAGATGAGGAAAATAAACAAATCTCTGTCCTGCAATACCAAAATAAAAAGATATGAATATTTCTCTTGTTGAGATGATTTACGATAGATGTCATAGGGAAGTTTTGTTCATTTTTTGTTAATAATAGTGACTACAAATTAAAGATGGAACATTAAAGAAAAAAATAACTTGCATAATAACTAATACAATGTCATATTTTTCGTCTCATTTTATTTTATTTTTATTTTTATTTTGTTAAATAGAGATGGGGTCTCACTCTTGCTCAGGCTGGTCTCGAACTCCTGACCTCAAGCGATCCTCCCACCTCGGCCTCCCAGAGTGTTAGGATTACAGGCGTGAGCCACTGCACCTGGCCTTTCTTCTCATTTTAAAGGTAGTTGCTGTATTAATTTGTT